CCCCTGGGCCACGGCACCTGCCCGAGTCTGAGCAGAGCAGGCTGGCGAAGGAGGGGGACAGGGAAGTTCAGGCAGGGTGACTGTGGCAGTGACCTGCACCGGTGACGGTCTGGCACGAGTCGGTGCTCCAGAAGCCTGGTTCACCCGGGAGGAGGGCCCACAGGGAGAAGCTTCAGCCCAGCTTGCAGTTATCAGGGCACCTCCAGGATTGTCATATTTGGCGGGCAAGGTGGGCCGTGGTCTCTGTCACCCTATTGTAAGCACGGCCTGGCCAGGCAGAGGCACTCACAAAGCTCCTTTACAGCATCAGGTGAAGGATGTGCCTTCTTCAGCTCACCTTGTCCATATGGCTCTGAGGAGCAACCAGTGCAAAGAAATCTGTTGCGCAAAAGCTTCCCTAACCTTTCCCTTTGCCAAAGGCTCAGCCTCCCAGGAAGCTGCTTTCCACCACTTCCCACCCTCAGAGGCTTTTTCTTGTCCAGTTTAACCAGGCAGGAAATGAAAGCCCCAGAGAGGCCCCAGGCTTCCAGCACCTCCAGCCTCTGGGAGAAGGTGCACGCACAAGTCCTCCCACGAGGTCTGAACTATCCGGCCCCTATGGTCACTGCGCCTGCCACAAAAGGGAGTGGAAAAGATCTGGGAATTTAGGACTTAGCATCAGGTAATGGGACCTGGCTGGCAGAAAGGAAGAAAATCCTAAAGCAGGGCTCAGTCCTGCCCTGGTAGGGCTGCTGTGACGAGCAGCAGGTCCTTAACACAGGATAGGGGCATATTCAAGCACTTAACTGAATTCAGGTCTATAACATGGTTCAGCACCAGCGGGGCAGCTCCCAGCTCCACCCCTTCCAAGGGGAGGGAAGGAGACGTGTTTGCCGGTGTGTAATTTTACATACACATGCACACAAAACACTCCAGTCTTTGTAAGAGCCCTCCAGCTCCAGCCACCCCAGAGATTTGCATAAAGAGGATGGTAAATCATTACTCCTTCCTGGTTCGTGACATTACAGCTTTGGATGATTTTCAGATTTCATCTCCCACCTCCTGTACCTTGCGGCAGCTGATTGCACAAAGAGCTGATCAGCCTGCGTCCCGCGAACCACACATAAAGAGGCCTGGGCGAGCGGAGCACAAACTGCTGGGCTCCTGGGCAGGCTGGGTCACCCCTCCCTGCAGCCCCGCTCTTGCGCCCAGGCACGACAGGGCTGCGTGGAACTGGCGTTTGCTCCCTGCTGTGAGTTTACACAGTGCTTGTTTTGCCCACAGAGGAAAAAGCGGAAAGGTGGTGCTGCAGGAGGTTACCTTTGTGCTTTTGCAAAAGGTACAGGTTGTCCTGGAAAGGCCCCCCCACGGGCCAGGCAGGGCCGGCAGGATTAGCTGCCGCACGTGCTGCAGAAAGTCGAACCTGAAAACTTCGGCTGCCAGTGGTCTGGCTGTCTGCCTCGTTTCGCACCTGCAGCCACAGCGAAGAACGGCGGTCCTGCAGGCACTTTCTGCCCCGGGGAGCTGCTGTGCAAGCGATTAAACACGCAGGGATGTGCTGGGAAGCTGTTGGTAGGGACATCAGCCACCAACGCAAGAGCTTTCTGAAAAATGGAAACAAAGAGGAAGTCTGTATGAATTAAACTGAGGAAACCAGTATTTGTATTTGTGGAGTGAAATCCTGGTCCCCCAAAAGCAAGTATCAAAGCCCCCATTGCTTTTGGGGTGGGTTTCCCCTCTCCAGCAGGTCAGGTCCCTGGAACGTGTATTGCTCTGTCAGCTTCAGCTTCCAGCTTTTCCTCCAAAAATGAATTGCTCCGTTTTCACGCAAGCATGTAGCTCTGTTAGAGTGGGGAGCGATGTTAGAGCTGCTTCTGAAGTGACACCAACCCAAGCAGAGCAAGCCCGCTGGATGCCCAGCCACGGGCGTACCTGCAATTGCCTTTAGCCACGTTTCAAGGCAGTGACTGCTACATTTGTTCATTGCTCTTTCTTAATTGTATCTATCCCTACAAGTGCTTTGGGATGCCTCTGCTATGCAAGTCACCGTCCTAGGAATTAACACGTTAAAACATGACTACAGGTTCATGACTACAGGTTCAAAGGCAGCAATGGTACTGCTGAAATAACAGTAATGGAGCAGTGAGTAGAGCACGCTAACAAAATGATATATCGAGGGCTTTAGACCATGTAGTGTCATGCCCCTCCGGTGCCGTTACCTGCATAGGCTCAGGGAACAATGCTGTTATACAGGTTACTGTCGTTCTGTCCATACTAGGAAAGCTGTCCATGTCACCGCCCAGTGTCTCAGAGGCTGTCACATCCCTGAAGTGTTTACATAAATAAGGTTGAAGCAAAATCCTGACTTACCTCAGCGTGCAGAGAAATGCTCCCCTGAGTTACTGCGTCTACATACCTTTTTCTTCGCTTCTCTTTGGTCAGGTTTCTCGGGGCAGCAGCAGCATCCCGTTTTCAGAGTCTGTCTCTCCTCCTCACCCAGGTTGGTACAAAACCTACCCCCATGTCCTATCCCACCCCTTTCCCAACTATTCCCGCAGCCCAGAGTCTTTGCAGCCCTTGCTTGAGGCAGGCACTGCCAAATAGCTACAAATGCAGCCAATCAGCACCCAAACAGAGCCCACAAAATGCAGATGAGGATGCCGTGAGGCCAGCAGGGTACATATTACCCTTTACAGGAGCATGCTCACATCCTTATTTGCGCAGTCTATTTTTTCCCACAGCAAGGAGCAATAACCCCTTCAGAAAGGGATGCTTGTTCTCCCTAGGGAATAATACCGCTGGCTTCCCCTTCTGCAGGGTTCGGTCTCTGGGTCTAAATGGAGCTGGAGAGTCAGATCACCTTGGAGCACTTTGCTGAGCTCCTGTTTCCAGCAGAGCTGGCTGTGCTCCTCTCCCCTGGCAGAGCTCACAGGAGCGAGAGGAGTGTCAGGTTTTCAGCAACATGCTCCGATTCTTCCTCGTGCATGTGAATATTCAAGGAAAGGAGAAAGGGGGTGGAGGGAATAGCGTTTTCAGGGCTTTCAGATCCTTCAGTCACTCTGCAGCCAAAACAAAGAGATCTGAAAGGTTTGGCAGGTGTGAATATATACATTGTATGGGCAAGGAAATGATTAAATCATCAATATTTAGGAATCGATTTGCCCATGTTAATACAGAAATATGAGGCACGCTAAAGGTCTTTCAGGCTGATCAGTCTTCATCTGTTTATGCATTTTGGGTACATGCTTCTCATTTCCTCTCCCCATCCAGCTAAGCATATTTCCCCCAAAACCTGCAAACGCTTGAGACCGAAAGTGACTCTTTACCCATGTGCCCTTCCATTGCCCTGGAGAACCGCTTCCCTCCATGCGGTCAGGGCTTGCTTTTAACCACAGCCGAAGATAGCGTGAAAACACATTTCTGCAAAGTTAGAGCTGCTTCATACCCCCAGAAAGAGCGCTGCAGTACTGAGTGTCAGACCCTCCAGCTTTCTGGCAACCCGCACTCTCACCAGTAGCACCGCGTGGGCGCAATGCTGCATTATCAGTGACTTGCTCCACTTTGGCTGCGTGGAGGTTTGTCTGGCTGCTGCTTCTGTTACCCCCTTCCTTCTGCAGATGAAGCTATCCAGCATCTGGAGGCTGGGCGAGGCCAAAGGGCAAGCCATCTGCTAAGCCACACAGCACAAGTCACTGCATGGCGAGCATCTAGGCCCCTGCAAAATTCACATTCAGAGTGAGGCCAGAAGGTCAAACGAGCCTGAGTGAGTTCCCAGCTAGATCCCTGATGCCCAGAGGAAGAGTTTCCAGCAGTATTTAAAGACCTCAGAGATTTCCAGGGGGACTAAAGTTCCCAAGTCATTTGGGTTCTTTTGAGCATCTTCCTCTGCTGCCTGCTCCCCTAGAAAATCCAGCCTGGACTTAAAGGGACCTTTTGCCATGTCTAAATCCATGAGACTGCTCAGCGCACAAGAGTATTGAAATCTGACCTGGGGCGACATCTGCCCTTTGTGAGGACACACATTGAATAACCTGCTGCTTCCTGGTTTACCTTCTCTCCTAGCACCTTTCGATGCAGAACCCATCTCCTCTGTTCCCAGCTATTGTCCATCGCGGCAGTTTTCAGACTGCCTCTCCTGTGAAGAAAGCCCTAGCTATTTGGAGCAGCTGGTAGATTCCTGTCTTCAGACAGAGGCACCCTTAGACCCAGCCCTCAGTGCTCTCCAGGCGCCCTCGCACTACATCTCTGACTCCTTCCAGCCAGTCCCACTCTGCTTTAACCAGAGCCTGGTAAGCTTTGCGTCCCAGAGGAGCAGCTGCAGGTGCCCTCAGATGGAAGGGAATGGGGAAGGGAGTCGCATCCTGGGGCAAAACAGTGGCAAACTGATTTGGAAACATGGCTGCTTTTAGGGGTGTTGGGGAACTGCCACAGCAACTCAGGCTGCTTGCTAGGGCGCAGTCTCTGGCATGGTCTTCTGAGTCCTTTTCCATTGGGAGCAGAAAACAAGGAGGCTCAACCAAACCTAGAGAGAGGCTGCAGAACTGGAAACGTCCCTTTCCCAGATCTTATAGCCTTCCTGCAAGGAATAGCCCTGTTTTCTAGCAGCTGTTAACCTCATAGACAAACTCCCTATTGGAGCTAATGTTCCTGGAACTGCCTCTTGGTTTTAGGACCCCAAGGCCCAAATTATCTCCCTGGGTAGCCAGACCCTTCTGAGGAAGGTAAGGGTGTGGAAATCCAGGCTGTACTCTGGGTATCCACGTGTTTCCTGGAATGGCATCCTAAAACATCATGTTTTCTTCTCTCACACTCCAGGCTCCTGGATCCCCTAACTCAGCTGATCTGTCCAGCCCAGTAAACTATAGCTGCTCCCCACCTCAGCTACCTTCTTTCACCCCGCTGCCCCACAGCCCATCCGCTGCTCTGGACACCAAGACCTACGGCTACCCCGCAGAGGAGTGGTCCTGCCATACCCCGTCGCTGTACACCGCCTCCGCCTGCTGCTGCACGTCCTGCGGCTCCGAGCACGTGGACACGCGGGTCCCGGAGTACTTCCCCTGCCCCAGCACGGACTGCATGGACTACCTGCCACCCGTGGCCATGGCCGATGACTTCTTCAGAAGGGCTGGGAACTGTGACATCTGCTACAGCTAATGGGGACAGTGGTTTTTTACACGTTCATTGTATCCAAATCAGATTAATTGCCCATGAACTATGCAAAGTACCACTGCCTAACACAGTCCAGTTTACTCTTCACTACTCGCATATTTTCTACATGCCATTGTCACTACATTAGTCCTCCTGTATGGTCAGGTTTTTTTATTAGTTTTTTTTTTGTTTTTTAACAAACCCTAAGTCGCTTTGCCAGACACATAACTAACCAGACACTAAGACTGCTCTCTTCATTACAAATAAATAACTTTGTACTCATGCTGAAGCCTGCTCATTCCTACTGTGCTGAGCGTCAGTGCTTGCCTCTTCTGCTAACCATCTAGGATGCTAGCCCCGCCAGCACACAGGTGAGGGAGAGAGGCCCGCAGCAGCCTCCCTGGGGAGCAATTACTCAGCGGTATGAAAAGTCCAACTCACCCTTTGCAGCAGATGAAAAGTGTATGGGCATCTCAGCACCCAGCACACCACCCAGAGAGAAAGCTGGGCAGCACCCCCCTCTGAGAAGGATCTGCTCCTTCTCAGCCGCTGCTTTTCTCAGCCCGCCACGCTGATACTCTCCAGCAGTTCTTGCACAACAGACCTGCTATTTCCACACAAGCTCAGGGCTTACTCCATGGGTCACGTGCCGGAGAGGCCCCACTGGCCCGCACAGAGGTTGACTCTAGCAAAAAAAAAACCTCTTTGGCTACTGATCAACACCAGCTCCCCAGTGAAAGCAGGGTTTTAGTGAGAGGCACAGGTAGCTCCAAAACCTTTTGCCTAGTTTGGTCTGTTGATACCAGGTTTTCTCCACGTTTCAGCACAATCTACTGTAATAGGAGCTAAGCAATTTCTTTTAATATAATGGGAAAGTTGTCACACCTGAGGATTCACTGTTTCTCGCATAAACCCAGACCTTCCCAAGACTGTTTCTCACCTCCTTTTAATCGCTGCTAACCATCTAGGATGCTAGCCCCGCCAGCACACAGGTGAGGGAGATAGACTGACAAGCAGTCAGTTCCTCAGCTGAGCACCCAGACTGGAAAGAAAGAAACATTTTCCGTATTAAATCTGACACAAATTTAAAAAAGATTAACTATATCTTTGAAGGCAAACTCACAGTGTAACTAGCTCCAGGCTAACCTTTTCCTCCAGACACTTCCATAGTTAACTGAAAAGTTTTCCTCTTCTCTGGCACTGAATATGTCCACACAGCCAGGGATGTGGCAAGGGAGAGACACGTCTCAGCTGATGAGTGGGGAAGTTTCCTCCCTACTACCAGAAAAAGCAACCAATATTTCCTCACCCTGTGAAATCGATGAAGAGCTAGGAATAGAGTAACATTTTTTAATGAGACTTTAAAAATATATAGAACACCAGTTTCTCCAACCTTCTCTCCCCTTCCTCAGAGAACAGGGCGATTACCTCCCACGCAGCCTCCAGATGGGTTCCCTGCTCCTTAAGCCCTGTATCATCTGTAAAGGGCATGCTTTCCATGTCCAGTCCAGCTCCCCAGAGAGATCGTTTCATTTTGGTTGCGATAGACAAGATGACGACATGAGACAAGGAGATGACATGGAGATAACTGTACCTTTCCAACATATAGTTCATTGCTTTGCTTTGTGTTAGGCAGCAGCTTCTCCCAAAGTTTGCTTTAAAATATTTTGACAACTTTAAATAATGTCTTTGCATCTCCCCAGTTGTTATACGATTAATCTCAGAGCTGGTCCCAGTGATGAACACATGCGGTCACAGAAAGCCTATAAATAGGAGTTAGTCAGCAGCTGTATCTCCGCTGCAGTTAAAGGTGTGATTACCCCTGTGCAGAGACACTCTAACAGGCATCGTTTCAGTCGTGATGGCAGAGACTTCAGCCACTAAGGGTCATCTTAGGATCTGGCAGGGGTCACACTTCCGCTCTAGCCTGCTCCACAGCTCCCTCAGTGACCGCTTCTCCTGACCCCTGCTTGCAGCACTGGCACACTTTTTGCCATATATCAGAGCGCATTGTCACCAAAGTTAAACAGCCATGGAAGGATAAGGCTGAGGCAAGATATTTGAGGCTTCCAGTGGAAATAGGACGACCACATCCTCCCTGTGGGCTTGGCAGTGTTGCCCTGAACTTAAGAGAATCAGCAAAAGGTGCTCTCATATAGCAAAGGAAACAGCATGCGAAAATAATACATGAGCCTCGAACAAAGGGAGCGCTCTTGTTAACACATTTTACAATATTAATAGTACCCCAGTCTACCAAGCAAACAGTGCCAGCAAGGAAGTCAGCTCAAGTGTGACAGCTATATTACAGTCCAACAACATATACCTCACCTCCCCGTTAAGCAGACATCTAAACTTAGTACATCAGCAACAGATTGCACTTTTATCAGTGCATAGTGGCAAATATCTGTACAATTGTCAGTGGTTATAGTGCAGCTCCAAAGAGGACTGCTTTGTACAAGGAAAGACTGCCGTGTGCAGTGGGGAAGTTGTGTCTGTTATCAAACCTATGGCTGATGTTTAGACGTGACAGAAACGGCAGTTTGAGCACAAGGGCTGTAAACCCACCATCACATTCCTATTCCTGCTTCTTGGATGTTGCCTTACTCTGAGGAAAAAAAAAAAATTCCCTTCCAGGGGGGAAGCTATCTCCCAAAGGGCTGGTCTGGCCTCTCTCCACTGAGTCTCTCCCGGACTTCCAGGGCTGCAGGTGGCTGAGGTCCTGAAATGGGAGCATGCCATGTGTTTTTAAAGACAGCAGCTATTTAACAACTGTTGGATTTATGCAGCATGGGACCAGCTGCTTTGAAATTACCAACTGCTCTGACGGGACCAGGGTAATTCCAGCAAAAGGGTTCTCTGCTCCTGGGACTCTGACAGCTACTATTAAATAGGTTGCACCGTCCTCCAGCCCTTGCAGCCACATTGAATGATAAACACTCCTATTCCTCTGCTGCTTTCTCCAGCTGTTCTGCAGTCCTCTACGCCAGGGACTGCGAACACGTTTTAGATGCTGCTGTTCCATGTCAGTGGCTCCAGGAGACATAGGCAGAGCAAGTAAAAGCTTGCTGGCTGTTAACACAATGATTCCTGGACTGACTGTGATTAGAAAGGAAGAAAGCAAAAGAGGAAGACTATTCAAAGGTTGCTCGTGGGTTTTTTTCCCACTATGTGGAACTTCTTTTACTGCTTTCCTTCTCCACCTCCCCGCCTCCCCCAAAAAGGTTAAAATAACATAGTTTGGACCATATCTCCAAAACAGCTGGCAGAGCACTACTGAAATGCTGGCATTTCAACAGTCCACACCAGGTGAAGTTCTGCCATCCCATGTAAACTTGTGCTTACACAAGAGTTAGGATCACCCCATTCTTATAAAAGCCGTAAGTGACTCCAGAAGTAACATGCAATTTCAGAGAAAATAAAAGGTTCTTATTTTCAGGTTCTTTTCCAGCTACACAGAATATTTGATTGAAAAAATCTTCCTTGCCAACCAAGTGGTGACTTTTCCATGGTGCTACTTCAGAACATTTGTTTAGCGATAACACGCCTTTGTTATTAGCAATTTATCCAAAGCCAAGGTAGGAAGGAATAAACTGTGCAAATAAAGGGGTATCACACACTGCCAGTACTGCTTATACAAAGAGTATTCTCCCTGAAACAGTCACCAAAAAAATTGAGAGATGAACTGTGACATAAGATACTACTCAAATCAATGAAATTCACCCCAGCACAGAACACTTAACCCCCAGACCCGTTTTGGGCCTTAAAAGGAATTTCCTTGATACACAGGCCAGGAGTCGGCTGGCTTGGCAGGGAAAGGTGCTTTACGTGCAAGGGGAAGCAGCAGCCGCCAACTCTCTCATGGATCCTGTCCAAAGACAATACGAACAGCTCGTTGATCATGGCTGGCTTCAGAGCAGGTCTCTGATGTACAAGCTTGGGGAAGCTGAACAAGGAGATGTCTGTAGTGAGAAGGAATCTTTTCTGGGTCAGTCATGGGATCTTCCCTCTGCAAATCTCACCTCTCACCTCTGAGAAACACAGGTGGCCAGTGAGGTGCTCAGAGCAAAGCTGCGTCCATCCCGTCCTGGAGCGATATCTTCCCTGATGTGCTGGAGATGGCGATGTTTACAGATTACAAATCCCCGATGGTGTTGCTCTGGATTAAACATGGGCGGGTGAAACGATACAGACATAAACCATTCTGGAAAAACAGCTCCTGTATTTTTTCACTTGCTGCAGAAGGACTTCTGTCATCTCACAGACACTTTCGGAAGGCAAAAAGCTTTTATGCAAAGAGGGACATTTCCTAGTGCATCACATGCCAAGTGTTAGGCACAGATGTACAATTTTGTTGCTAGTAAGATCAAGAAATGGATAATTTATTGACCATTTTGACTTGACACATAGCACTGAGTCACCAACGCAGTTATCACTCGATTCGGGGCTTGTTATAGCGTCCCTTCAAAGTAAGAAAGCACATGCTTTAGCTGGCCTGTGCCCAGATGTATGCAAATTTATGCAAACACATGCAAATACAAGTCTACTTTTTTGTCAGAGGATGTTGGCAGGTTTGTAGGCATGATGTAGTGAGAAGCAGTAGCAAAACAGCAAGGAGGAGGGCTGAGAAAGTCACAGAGATCTCTAATCAGGATATCTGCGTTTCTTAAGAGCTTTTGTTCCAGCCTGCTAAACAGTTGTTTAAACAGTTGAGGTTTGCAAAACTCACAAGTGCTTTAGAAACCCCAGTCCCATTGAGGAGTCAGTCAGTGGGTGATTAAGGAAGTTACTGCAGTGATTTAAGAGGATCTGCCCTTCACCTTTTTGTTCAGTCCTGTTAGGAAAAATAACTTGTGCAACACTGAGAAAACAGCAAATTCTGAACTAGAGATGAGCCATCCTCCGCGAATGGGTTGTCCAAACATGGCTTTCCCTCCCCTTAGGCATTTACTTTCACTCCTAGTGACCCAGCAGAGACACCATTGCCGGTTGATTGCACAGCAATTTACAAATCATTTCACAGAAAGAATAAGAAGAATCTATAAAAATGCCCCCCCCAGATAAGCATAGCAATAGGAGAGCACTTTCCACATTGCACTCTGATCTTGTGCTCAGGCCCACACCTCTCAAAGCTTTTCCACCACGTCCATCCCTAAACACTGCTGAGGACTCCATCTCCTGCACTGCGAGGCATGAGCTCACAGGTGGTTCAGGTCCCCCCGCTGGGGTGCTTTCAGAGCCATGCTTTCCACTGTGCTTTGCCATCAGAGCTGGAGACCTGGCTTGGATCAGATGTCTCAGAGGCATCCCTTCCACTGGGAAGCTCTCAGGAGCCACATGAGCCCCCCGCTGCTGGGAGCCTGTCCCACACGCTCACTCTTACAGGCCTCTGTTTTGCTTCCTCGGAGTGGGGTGAGAGACCGTGGCAACGGAGAGCTGCTTCAACTTTCCCCCACAAAGTGCTAAGAAACAGGTTAGTAGCAACTTGCAGAAACCCTCACTTGAAGGTGTCATGCTCAGATGTTTTTCTGCTCACTCCAATGCAATTCAGTCGTGCCAAGGATAACTCCTCAGGCTGCCTCGGCATTTTCACGTTAGCAGGGATAGTTGGAATAATTGCACACCATAAAGGCTCCAGCATTTCACTCAGTACCTCTGTACAGGACCTAACAAGAGGCACAGTTCTAGCATGTTTTACAGCAGTGTTTCTCAGCCTTTTTTATCTAAAGGACTGTCTTGTGTTCTCTTGCCACCGTAGTTTTCAATTGCCATGAAATCAAAGTTTGGCTGTACTTTGAATGTTTGTTTATTTAGGCAACAGCCATTCACTTTGCTTGTCTTCTTGCTTACAAGCAATACAGTATGTTTGAGGATTATCAGTTTTTTTGGTAATAAAGTTTTCAATCATTTCAAAGTCCGTCTTATGATATATTACATGCTGCTAATGGTCCACAGGTTGAGAAACACTGTCACCCCTCCCTAGCTTAAAGACTCTATGGACAGAGACACTTTGGTTAACCATCCTCACAGCTTTTCTAAAAGGCCTTGTGCAACCAGCAAGCTGAAGTTGATGCCATGCCAGAAACTGCAGGCAACCTAGGATCTGGCATTTCGGTGACAGGAAACAAATGCAGATGCAACTCTCCCTTTCTTCAGCAAATGCCTAATCTGCCAAAAAATGTACAAGTTTATAATGCACTGTGTGAAATTGTAGACGGGTGCATGAATTAGCTGTGTGTGTATATATATATATACATATACAGAGAGAGTGTGTGTGTATCATATTATATATTAAACTGAACATACATATAAACATATGAGAGATTATAATGAGCTCCAGTAGCCTTTTTCATACCTGTAGGCACGAAACCTGAGCTTTCCGTGAGATTTGTTCCCATTATAAAAGAGCTGTACGCTGATACCTCCCCTGATTTCTTTGGGGTACCAGCTAATTCCTGCTTCCTGCTCCTGGATTATGGGTTTACTCAAGTGGGGAACCCCAGCCTACACCACTCCAACCTCAGACTCGTGTCATCTGACACGGACGTGTTAGGAAACAGAAGCAACGTTCATCAAGTACCTGATCTCCAGCTTTCCCAGAAGGAGTCATGTGGATTGGCTGATCGTTGTCTAAGTTTCGGATGCTTGGGTCTGCCCCGTGGTCAAGGAGCAACTGGACGATTTCTTTCTGGTTCTTGTCACGATGCAATGCAGCTGCCATATGCAAAGCTGTGTTGCCGTGAGCCTAACGCAATGGAAAAAAAAGGAAAAAAAGAAAAAAGAGAAACCTTCTGATAAGCTGTGTTCCACTCAGAACTGTCCTAGAAGCAGAGAACTGTGAAATGAGACATGAGGAAATCCCACATTATTGCCTACCCAGCGGTGAGGGAATATCCCTACTGTGTTCCCCATGTATAAGCTGCTCAAGGCTTAGCAGGACTGGGGGAGATTTAGGGACATAGATTTCTCTCTGTGATAGAGCACTACAGATTGGGGATCTTTGATACTTTGGGTACAGATATTTGGCTAGAGCAGCACGTGAGGGCTAACAAACAGCCCTGTTATCTGCAACATTCCTAATCACCCTGCAACCCTCCGCAAAATCATACCTGTATGGAGGTAGGGATCTGATGAGTTGTTTGAAAAAAGAGAAGGACCATGTAACATGCATTTGTACCCAGGAGAAACAACAGGAGCTGATTTACTAGGAAACATTTAAATCTGTCCTAGAGATACATAACGCGCAGTTTGTTGCGTTACAGATCACACACAGGCTATGCAAGGACTAACAATACCAGACCCACCTGTGCTCCACATATTCCCACCGCTCCCTCTACAACCACTGTCAAGTGTCCAAAAGCTGCAGAGAGACCACGACACGAACGAAAGCCAGGCCCCAAAATGCATAGGCAGTATTTCAGACTGATCTGCACACCAGGCCTCTTCTGTGATTGTGCGAGTCCTCCCCATCACCAAAGCCACAGACTTAACAAGAGGCATTTTGGAAGGTGTCGAGCTGTCCCGATGGTGCAGCCAACCTGGAAGTCCAGCTGCCTGTGCCCCTCGGTAGCCTCATGTGCCATGGGCTGAACAGGGCTGCTGGGAAGTCTGGCTCTGGAGCAGACAAAATAAATCTTGCTGGGCTCCAGACCTCCTCCTGGTTCCTACCCAGAGTACTGAAGGCTGCACTCGATTTTATTGTCTTCGCACTGTCGTTACGCAGAGTCCTAAGGCCGAGGGCCAACTTAAACGTTTCTTGACTCCAGCATTTTGGGGGACAGGATTTGCGCAGAAATGATGGGACACAGTTTGTTACAAGGCCACGGGGGGGCGCAGGATGGCGTGAGTGCACAGCAATTTGTTGCCGAAAAGCTCTGGTATCAACAGACCATATAGAAATCTGTGCCACTGCCTAGTCAGGTATGACTGGTAACGGTTTTAAATGACAAAGAATTAATAAACAAATGCATAAGGCCAGGTATTATTTTTAGTCTGCAAGAAGTCTCATTTAGGCAGCTGTATATTTTTTCTCTCTGAAATGATCATATATTTCTCAGGTTCATTTCTCATGAACTTGGAAGGTTTGGACACACATTATAACCCCTGTTCCAGCTTTTGAAAGGAATACATGTAATATTCAGGTCTTACTGACCAGGGACACAAAGCACAAAACAAAATAGCAAGTTAGTATGGAAATCTTAAAAGCTCTTCTTGCGCAAGGTATTTTTACAAGCCCTGAACCAGCAGATCCTTGTCAATTTTATCATCCCATAAAGTCAAGGGATGGCCTCAAGCTCTTTATAGGACTTCTCATTAAAATGGAAGCATCTGCATTTGTTTGCTGCATTAAATGCAGGAACATTTGATATCTTCCAAATCCAGGCATGGGGCTAAGAAAACAAGGCAATGACAATTGCCACGACAATTGACAGTTCCTGATCTTGAAGCTTTTCCATTAGCTTTAGTGGGGCTTATCTGAGACAATGGTCTGGAGCACCCATACACGGTCTCTAAAAATCCTTCAGGCAGAATATACCTCAAAGGCCTCAATGCTTTTCTCATTATAACAGGCACAGGGAAGAGGAAGTGGAATGAGAGAACCACAGCAAAGAGACGGTGAGCCAGGGAAGCCAAAACACAAAGACTCCAGCATCTCTGTTTTCGTGCCTTCTTCCTACTTGGGAGAGCTTAGAAGCTGCGATGGGGATCTGCCAAGCTTGCCATCATATTTCTCACTGGCCCAGACAGCCCACCAACAAGACTGAAGACTCCAGGTGATCCTATCACAGTTGAAAACTCTCGCAGGATTGTGATCAGGAGACAACAGCAGACTCCCACGGACAAGCTAGTGCCTGCTTAATGGCTCTTAAAAGATACAGAAAGAATGTAGCAAAAGGCAGTATAATTTCATCTTACAGATAGGCAGAAACACAGTGTAGTTACCCACACACACAAAGCAAAACGTGCTTCCTGTCCTCCAGTCCAATAGAAATCCGTAGGAAGAAATATGAAGCTACCCAGTATCTGCTCCCCAAGTCACCAACTGACTCAACAGAAAACAATCAATTCCTTTCTGATGGACACAAACACATGGATGCTTCAGGGAGTGCAGGGCAAGGCTAAGAGAGGCTGACCCCCTTGAAACTAAAGGCTAACGCACTGGCCCTCTCTAAACCGGGAGTCATTGGCCTTCTCCTCCTCTCCCATTGTCCTTCCTGCTCACGCTAGATTTTCTGCCAGGGTAAATAGTTCACCTCTGCAGAAGCACCCAGAATCGCCACTTAGCCCTGCTGGAGGGGGGCAGCTAGCCAGGAGCCAAAGCTCTGGCTGATGGCGCAGACCGATGTCTCAGCGAAGGCACAGGAATGTCAGAATTTCTTCTCAGGAGGATGGGTGCAGCCCAGATACAGCTGCAAGATAATGTCACTGCTTCGTATCTGCTCAGAGGTGAAGTTTAGGGCAGCAAGGAGATGGGTGACTCAGTGGCAGAAGGTTTCTAACTTGCTTCTTACATCCTAGGGACAGTCACGCCTCCAGAAACCCTACACTGAGGAACCAGCATTAGTAAACCTTCAACTTAGTAAGCAGGGCTGTACTAGGCGCCTAGAGCCATGAATTTAGCAGGGTCTCAAGTCCTCAGATTCAGAGGTAATCTACTTTCCAGAGTGCCTGTGCTCAACAAGGATGCTGGCTCCCTTCAAAGAGCTGGTTTCGCTGTGCTCCACCTGCTTGGCAGTGTCAGCGTCTGGGTTCACTGCCTGCAGTACGTGTCTGTCTTTCCTTACTGCTCATGACAGCTTTTAAGGCTTGGTGGGCCCTGTAAATATTTTGATTCTCCAGGCTCAAACTCACAGCCAGCCACCACCATAAGCAATTTGTGCCCCGGCAGAAACAGAGCTGAGAAACTTGCAAAACACATCTAAGGCAGAAAGTCACTGTCTCACTGAACTAAAATAGGAGCTCTGCCCTTTGCTGTGGATGGTACTGCTGACAGAGATCACTGACACACAGCTGCCCTGGCCTGTTGTCTCTCAGGGTTATGTTGCTACCAAACAGCAAAGCATTGCATCACTGCAGAGCTGTTTTCTCAGTCTTCATCCTAAGGCAGTAAAGTTCACGTTCCTCCTCAAGTAACTGCTTCCCATGTCCTTTTTCTTCCCTGCTTATCCCACTCTCTCCTTCTGTCAGCTTCCCTCTGCTGGGAGAGGGCCCAGGCTTCATGATAAAACTCAGAGTTCAAGCCAGGCAGTGTTTTCCAGGTGAGATGCCTATTTACTGGAAAACACAGGTTCAGGTTAAAAAAAAAAAAAAAAGCTTCAGATTCACCAACTGTTCTTTTCCCTCCAGAAAAAAGTATGGGGGGAGAGGATACCTGATTTCTGCAGGACCCTAGACATCTCCTAACAGCCCTGTCTACATGCAGCCTCCCACTGCAATCCAGGTTTCATGCTAACTTCTCTCTACATCTCCTCCATGTGTGGATTCACACACAAATCCTGCCCACACAGGGCCTAACTCACCTTGTTGTTGACAAAATCCTTGGACTTGAAAGTGTTCAGCTCCAAGAAGTATCTCAGCAGGGAGATGTTTCCATCCTGGACTGTATAATGAAGAACTGTCTTGTTGCTTTTCACATCCTGTTTAGAAACAGGAAAGCAACACAAAATAAAAAACGTTTTGCAGAATGGCTTAAAGATATTATACAAATCCAGTGGGCAAAAGCCTAGTCCAGGTCTGCAGCTAAATGGAAACACCTCCCTCCCTTCAGGGGCCCTATTACCGTCCAGTCTTTGCCTCAAGCCTTCCTCAAGGAAACTAACTCCAAAAGGCAGGAGCTGGGAGCCTAAATTCTCACGCATGCTCCATCTAATACTGCAACCAGTCACCTGAAAGGGGAAGAGCTTGCTCCTTGTGCCAGCAGCTCATTTCTTCTCCAATTCTGTATTTTGAGCGTAGCACAAGTGTCAGACAGCACAGGAGAGGTTTACCTTGTGAACGAACAGCAGAGGGATAACAAGTGACAGAGAGGCAGCGCTGATTCCTCCTTACCCGGCTGTAGATGGAAGCTCCCGTCTGCACCAGGAGATGGATACAGGACTCCAGCTCTTCCCTCTGGTGCTCAAAATCCTTTTGCTGCTCCTCCACTATCGTGTGGTGACCCTGCTGCTCCCGGAGCAGGGCGTTATGGGCCAGAACGGCACAGTGCAGCGGGCTATGGCCTAGAAAACCAAGGCAGGGCGGGAGACGATGACAGTCCCAAAAAGGTCACAGATTCAAAGAGAAGTGAGGACTTCAGCTGGTTTCGAAGGTACAGTGCTGATGGCTGCATGAGATACTTTAGGAGGCGCTTCAGCATGTGCTCAGCTCTAAGTGTGCGTTTAAAAAACATTGAACCCTGTGGCATTTGAGTACACAACAAGGACTTTCCCCAGGGCAGTTTCTGAGGCCACTCTGGCCTCCCAGCACACCATCAAATACCGAGGAGCATCAGTCAATGTCTGAAATAGCCAATATAAATTTTTCATTTTCTTAATACCACTGTAAAATATTTGTACAGTCAAAGGGTCTTACCTTCAAAATCCTTCATTTCTAAATCAAGAGGGAAACCTAATGACAGTATAACCTGGAATTGACAAAAGACACAGAAAATTTTAGTTCAATGGAATACTGTCCATATCAAAATCAATTAAAATTACAAGTCAAAAAAAACCCTAAAAACAAAAAAACCCACTAACACTGGGATAATTATCATTTAACTGCAAGCTAAGCTACCATTTGACACTAGATTTTAGTGCTGTGAAACCTATTTCCAAAGAGTGGCATTCAGGTTTATCCCAGATGATTGTTTCCCTAAATCTAGAGGTCAAGCTAGCCACCTCGCTTCCACTCTGACCTAAGCAAATGCACACCTCCATAGTGCTAATTCACATTATTCAGCATCACGCTTGCCACGAATAAATGAAAATCTCTCCCTGACATGTATAGCAAAACTTTATTACATCAAAGCTCCCTGACAGTAGAAATTCTCAGACTGGATTTATTTTATTATTTTTTTTTCAATGTGCAGCAGTGTGACAGGTTAATAAAACTGCCTGTTGGAAGGGCTGCAGCAGGAAAAATGTACAACTTATAAAAGAAGTGAAATCATGGTCTGGAAACAAGCATTGCTTAGATTTAGCAGAGAGCAAACAATTTGAAAACTCAGCTTCAGAAAGCAATTGATCTGATGTGATGCAGCCAAGTAGCTCCTTGTCTAAAATATTACAGATAATATTTTTTTTGTTCTTGTTTGAATAATTCAAGTTGCTCACATTTCAGCATCTTGGTGGAGAACTTGGCACTGCAGTGACTCATTCAGAACCTTGTCTAGTTAGATGAGGCACAAGCGTAACCCCTCCACTGGCGGATTATCCAGAGACGTTAGGGCTTGTGTTCTCTTTTCATAACAACAACGTAATATATCCAGATCAAATATTGACAAATAGCTTTGAGGTGCCTGATGATTAGAGATTAGATGTTTAGTCCATCAGAGAACATAAAAAAACAAAAGGAAACCATAACATTTTACGGCTTTGACCCCACTGAGGAGCAAGTCCACGTGTATTTTCCCTTGTTATGTTAGGGGGAAAAAAAGATGCATTTCCAAACGCAAGGTGCTATAGAAGATTTTGATGGAATCAACTGAATGAAACACGCTTTCCACGGCTGAAACACCTGCTTTCCTAAGAACTCACAAGGTTATACATTAACTGCCCGCTTGTGACTTAACCCAGGGCGTGTGCAAGGCAGGGCTAACGAACGATGGAGACCAACTGCCAGCGTGCTGGAAATCCCATGGCACTTTCCCTGGTACAGCCCTCATCCTCAGAGGACTCAGGACCCTGCCCTCAGGCAGTCTCATCAGCACAGCTGCCCTAATTCTCTGCAGTGAAGCTGCCTATACTCAGTCCTCACACATGAATCAAAGGAAGCACATTTCATTTATTTAATTTTATGGCCAATGGCCAAGTAATTAACAGCCACGTTCCAGTATACTTATCTGTGCCACGTAATCCCCTGCAAAACTTCCCACTGTGGGTTTCCTAACATGCTCACTTGCTCTCCAGCACTGTTAGAGCCTGGCTGGCACAAAAGCTAAAGGTAGGCCCTGTCTACACAGAGATCTGTGTTAAACTGAAGAGCATTTTTAACAAGTTACAGCTGCATTTTTCCTCACTGCTAGATCCACCCCCTTCCTCTAAACAAAACAAGTAGCCCTGGAGGTTAAAAGTAATAATAATAATAATAATCAGCTGCACCACCATTGTTTTCCTAAGGAAATATTTTCCCTAGTAAAGCTCCATCCAGCAGAGGATCAGAGGTCTGCACAGCCCTGACTGACAGCAGACCATCTGTATAGAGTACCCAATCCTTTCCCTTCGGGCAGATGTTCACAGCCCAGGAGGCACTGATGAATGTCACTGGGAAAGGCAATAGGTGAGTGGAGACCCCTGGCCAGGTAAGACATGAAAGCTCTAGTGGATTCAGGCCATACATGAGTGTCTAGTTTCTTCCATGACTTGGAAAATCCTCCTCATCGGCTCTTGGTTTCACATAAAATGTAAAAAATGTTTCATTTTGAAAGCTGTGCCTGAGATGGCCCTGCATCCAGGGTCACACCTGCTCTCCCTTCAGCTGGTTTGACTCTGGACACAATTTGTTGCTCTGCTCTGGACAACATCAATGCCACCGAGCAAGTTTCCCGTTCTGCCTCGCTGGCGCTATTCCTCCAGCTCCCCCACGCTCAGCAGCCTCATAGGGAGCCCCCCTCTTTAACGCAGGAGTCAGCACAGCACCTGGCTGACCAGTACTCAGGGCTCAAGCCAGAGCAAGTCTGCTCTGCCTGGCCTGCCACCAGCAGATCTGCTGCTCTGGTCTACAGCAAGAACTTCTGCTCCCCCACACAGATACGCTAAAGCCATTTCTTCTGTAGCGGGACGCTGATGCTAGCTGCAAAAAATACCTCTGAAAGAGGAATAACCTGGGAAGACAGTTCCTAACATGGAAAAGGAAAAAGAGACTTTGGCCACTGTTCATTGTTTACTGACATCTTTCCTTTTGAAACAGTTATTTAAAGACACCCTTACTGAGACTTTATTGTAGATTTATATTCCTAGCAAACAAAATCATAAAAGTTTTTCCTACCTGGAGAACCTGGGCATAGCCATATGTTGCAGCGAGGTGCAAAGCTGACTGCCCTTTGTTGTCTACAGCATTAACATCTGCTCCTATCTGGATCAAATCGTAGACAATAGCTGGCTGTCTGGCAGTGACAGCCACCAGCAGAGGAGTCTGAAAAAAGCAGCATGACAAATAAAAGGTGAGAGTCTGTAGGCAGAGACCATCATAAGAAAGAGAGTCTGTGCTGAACAGGACCTAGAAGGCCAAGAGCTGTGGCACAGAAGCCAAAGATAGCTCACAGGCAGCTTTTGAATCCCACAGATTAGGTCCCAGGGCATCTGGAGAGAGGGGGCATTTCCCAGCTCCTACTGAACTCCACCTACTGTACTTAAGCCCTGATTTGGATGATAGCCCGAGTTCAGCAACTTTGAAGCGCTATTTGTGTCAGATGCAGCACTCAGGGCATTTATCAGTTGTTCACAAATCCTTTGGCCTCAAAGACTAATGCCAACACAGAGGTGCCTTCCCAGATCAGTGTTGTCTTAGACTACTCTGTGAACCATGGACTGAAAAGGCGGCTATTTTCGCCCCACCCAACTTCAGGTTCCTGCAGAGACACCTAAATCAGGTGTATCATTGCCCAAGGCTTCTTCTGTAGTAACAGAGGGGCTGAGCTAGATTTTCAAGGCATCAGTCACTGCTCTCAGCCATGCAAAGCCCATGCCCATCCCAAATGCTGCTATCTGTGGAAGGAGAAGGTCTGCATTACCTTTCCTCTGTGCTCCTTGGCATCAAGTCTTTGCAGCTCTTTCATTCGTTCTGCAGCTGCCAACGTATACGCCCTCATACCTTTAGCTGCATAAATATGTAGAATTCTAAGACAGCAAATAAAGACACTGATCATTGCTTAGCCATGAATCACCCTGGGAGCAAACAGTTTTACAGGGTAGCATAGCTGCTTTGAGGGGTTTACTCCTGGGGTTTCACAGCAAACATGCCATTGGCACTGGAGAGCTTGACCTTGAAAGCACCCACTCCCAGGGAAAGGGCTTCCTACCTCAAAATAACTCCTGCTTTCAAGACCCCACAGCACTCCTGAGCTTTGACACCCTGTCTCCTTTCCACTTCAGCACGTTCTGTCAGGTGACACTCACCCTTGTGCCAAGAGGTATCCAAGTCCTCCACAAACCCTAGTGTTGAGGCCTAACGTACTGCTTCAGATGAGATCATCTGTTTGGGGTGCTACAACCTCAGATGCGCAGGTAACATCTCAGCATTTAAAGCAACAAACAGCCTCTTCCAAATGGTGTATTGGTAAGCAGAGACAGTTCAGCTTTATTTGATTACCTAAACTAGTGGTGAGGTGGACTGAATCTTGGTCTCACCTATAAAAAAAAGAACTGTCATGTCCCACAGCAGTTGCAGGTCAGCTCATAGCTCGCTGGTGACATGGTCCTTAGTGAGTGGGAAAATACTTCATTTCAGCTGCATTGCTCTGTTATCTGAACTGCAGAGAATTATACAGAGCTCTGCACCACTTCCATTCCTCCAGGTCATGTTTCCAAGGGTGCCAGGTGTGCCTTACGCCATGGGTAGCTTTGTGCTTCCTCTTTGCATAGGAGACGACCATCCTATCGGCAGCCATACCAGCCCCTCCGTTCGTGTCCCTCCAGGCAACAACATTTAATACTTTCTAGTCAGAAGCTGGTGGGGCATCCCTTCTTTTCCCAGGTGATTTTGTACCACAGGGCCACACCTTGCAATTTCAGGAAGTGGAAATGCAACCTTCAGTCTGGTCTGATTTTCAATCAAGTTCAGCAGTAGCTGAGGCTGCACATCCACACATCCCCACGGATGCTAATAGAAGGTAATAGAGATGGGACTGACATCTGAACTGCAGGAGTGCTTGCATGAGTAAGGACTACATGAGTAAATAGTGTTTCAGGCAATATTTGGATCATAGAGTTCCTTTTTAGTCTGCCTTGAGTTACAAAATTAGCAGAAAGTCTAATAGCTAATCTGTGCTTGCAGCCTATAAACACGCCATTGAACTAACTGAGTGCTAAGTCAACACCCTGTTACCCTTTTGGAGAGGAAATAAAACACTCTAGGCATACAAAAGTTACTGTAAATCTTTATTGAAGATTGTCTTTTTCTAACCAGAACAACCCAGAAAGAAATTCTGAAACAGTTCATCATCGTTTTATATTGACACACAGAATTTACATACATTGAAGTGAAAGAAATTTAAAAGCAATCTTAGCAACCATGGGCTTGATTCACAACTGCATTATTCCAGTTTTATCTACTGAACGTGTTTTTATTTGTAAAACTGGAGTAAACAGTGGTGAACTAAGCTGCTTTTAATTAATTTCTTTGCTGGGTTTTTCTGCAAATACAAGCCACTAATTTCAATGCACCTGAACTACTGCTATTTCCAAATGACTTTATGATCATTTACATGATCTATTGTTTACATGTTCCAGATTTGTCAGTATTAAATAATGAAATGTTTTTTGACAGTCCGAGACTTTTGACCTGAGCTTGCAAACTTCACTCAGGCATGAACTGTAAGGTCACTAGAAATATTGCCTGAGTGGCAACCGAAGCGCTGGGCACCAGTTAATAAACAGTGCAATAAATTATTTTTCAGAAAGTCTTGTAAATAACAACGCCACCTAAGGATCCTGGGCTTTAGAAAGCAGAAAAACCCAGAGAAATTATGCTCATTGGCCAGGAGTCCCTTGTTTATTAAGAAAACAATAAACAAAGTTAGAAGTGGATACATGTCCTCCAAATATTTTTGCCTCTGGCATGGCACTTGTGAACATCAACAATAATATTTACAGTCGCATCAGAGGAAACAATAAAGCTACTCATTCACCAGGAAAGAAAATCAGAAAGCTATAAAGAGAATGTGTGCACCTGGGAGACTACAGCACAGAGAACCTTTCCATAGCAGTAAGGCACAAGAGAGGTCGCTAAGGTTCCCTGTCTCAGCGTGACATCGCCAACTTCATGCTCAAATGCTAGAGGACAAACGAAAGTACTGCCGCCTAATAGTAATGCCATGAACTCCTTGTCAGACTGAAGTCCAGATTTTGGAAGACCCTGTCTCCTCAGTGATCTCCTGACATGGGGCCATGTCTTGCAATCCTGACTCAGGCAAAACTCCCGGTGACTTCAGTGGGACCAGGATCTGTCCATTGGTAGAATATGCAGCATTACCAGCCAGTAACAAAACCGGGCCCTCCCCATCTTTAAGGTGGATATTTTAGAGTCCAAAAACATCTTGTAGCTGAAAGATTGCGACTCCAAGATTGGGAAAGATCGGGACCACTGTCCCAGATCTACATGTCCGTCTATCAACCTGGCAAGCATGGCATGCTTGTGCTGCTCGGTGCATAGGGATGTCTGACTGCACTGGCATTTAGTTCAACTCTACTGATTTCTTGCCTTCAGACTGATGCATCTATAGTGGTAAAATTAGCCTAAACTTTTCATTTTCTTGTTTTTCCAAAGGGGCAGTTCAATTTAGAAAAGAAAAATCTCTATTTAGGCCCCAAAAATATTTTCTAGTGGCCTAAATCTGGTAAAGACTCCTCTATGGACAAAGCAGAGAAACACATACAAGGCATTTAAACAGAGCTCTGGAAAACAGTCCTATTGAATAAACCCTTGACAACATTTAGGGACAAGCATACCCTTACCAAATGCTACAGTTGGAGACAGCTGCACTGCAGTATGCCAATTTGAGACCATGCCCTGAGTCTGAGAATGAAAGTCACCTCGTGTTGAGGCTGAGCGCAAGAATTGCACAGCATTAAGAGCCTGCCTGGGAGAGTTAGCAGGAGCGATAACGGCACAGCAATCTTGTGCTGAGCCCCAGGACAAAGTGAATTTCACACAACACGCAAATCATGGTGCGCTCGAGGTGGACAACAAAGTACCAAGTAAAGTCCCCACCCCCCAGCCTGCTTTTCCTTTTTTTACTCGAAACTCACTGCAGGGCCAAGTCGAGTATTGAGTAAGCAAGGATCAGGCCCAAGACGTGCAGCTTAAAGCCCTTCAACAGACAGAGCGTGATTTAAAACGTACGTATCATTGTCTTCATCTTCCAGAAGCAGCTTCTCAATGGGCAGCGTGCCAATGACTCGCCTGGCATCCTCCAGCTCCTGGGAGGCCGGCTCGGGAATGGAGATCGGCAAGGGCACGAACTGTGGCCCGGGAAGCGTGGAAGAAGCCGGCTGGTACTGCAAAGTGGAAGCTGGCAGTGCAGAGAGGGGCTGTGCCCATGGGAAATACGTGAGGGGTGCCTGCTGATCCGTCACCTCGAGCTGAGGGACTACTGCTGGGGTGGTGCTTCTAGGCTGTTAAAAGTATGAAAGAAAGAAAATAAAACAACGGGCCAGGTAAAGGAGGGTGGGGTGGGCAGACGACAAACCAACAGATTAAGGATACTCAGTCTCACTTTTAACATCCCTTTTCCTGTCTCTCTAGGTAAAGCTTTATTTATGCTGAGTGTGACAGTTTTCCCACGCTGGCCCCCATGAGAGCAGTGGCTGTGGGTGTCCCAGGTGCTTGCTGGCAGTAGTTCACGCTCACGACAAGTTCCCTCTAGCTTTCTGTTCCCACTCCCACCCTCACTGTAAGCCCATGAGACGGTTACACCCTGTGCTGAAAACTGCCCTCCTTGACAGTGCCTCTTTTGTAATGTGAATGCATGGATGCAAGGGGCAACTTAGCTGCCACAAGGCTGAAGGCAGTTTATTCCGGCCTCTGGGACAGTCCATCAGGACCAGCCCCAGCAGCTACCACAGAGCCACGTTTGAAATGGTAGCACTTCCTCAGTGGTGAAGGCCGCGGGCACGGGTGCTTGCTGATTTGGTGCATGCATCTCAGCAGCTGAACTGAAACATTTGAAGAAAAATAAGCTGCTCAGGTTTGACTGAAACAGTAGTCTCTGTCCTTCTCTCCCAAAGAAGGGCAAATTATCTTGGATTAGCTGAATAGATTTTGTCCAGCCTGAAACCAAATATTCCACCATAAGGTATAGGCAGTCTTCCAGCCCTATTCTTTCATCTTTAAATAGCAATTTTTGAGACATTTAGCAGTTATTTTTCCAGCTCCACCCAGTGGACATTTTTCCCAGAATCCCACTTACTTAAAACAAATATATACACGTGTGCACGTGTGAGTGTGTGTGTATATAAATATACACACACATATACATACATACGCACATACATACAAATATATATGGTGCGTGTGTGTTTGTGTGTGTATTCCCCCCCTAGAGTTAAATGGTGAAGAATCCCTTGCAGACTGCCCAGAATCTCAGGAGTGGCTGTGTCCTTGTTATTTGTCCAGACAACAGTTACTTATTGGCTGTATAATATCCCGTGAATCCATTCAATGAACAACTATAACTCTACTTTCTCAAACATTGCAAATCAAAGCTGCTAACCACTTCATCAAGTTGGAAGTGATTACAACAGTAAAAGTAATGTTTCTCACTATTGTTCTTGAACTGTAAACAATAGTCTCCTGCAATAAACACCTACCACACACTTGACCAAACTCAGGACACCGGCAACCCTGCTGCTGACTTCAGTGAGAGACGACCCATGTCCCAGGACAGAAGAAAGAACAATCCGGTTGTTAACAATGTGGAAAGCACTGGAGGGGTGGGGAGAGCTGAGGAACAGCAGTAGAGTCTGTCTGATTTCAGCGCAACTGCCTCTTTTTGTCACTCTCAAACCACAACAATTCCCAGCACAGAGCAGACAGGGCCAATACTAGAACGACTATGGAGCATAGATGCAAAGGCACACAGTGTTATAGTAATTAAATAAATCACACTAATTAAATCCTAGACTCCCTACAATTCTGCCTGGAAAGTGGGAATTTTGCCTTCATTTATACCTAGGTATTTTGACTTACTGCGAAATTGGTGATCAGTGGTTGAGAAGCGTAAGTCAGAACAGATGAAGGTCCAACAAGCGTGTAGCTGGGACACATAGGCTGAACATACATATCTGCAGTATATGGACAGCTGACTGCTTCATGGGACACATAATCGGGGTAAGTGGTCCACTGAGTTAAAGGCTGCAAGGACGTGGGAGAGGGCTGGGAGAGCCAACCAGAACAGAGTGCTCCTTCATCTGTGATGGGCAATGCAGAGGCAGCAACGTCCATATCAATGCAAGGCTGGCCTGAAAAACAGAAGAGGATCATATTCCAGCTCAGGCAGAGCCCTCCCTGCAGCAGGGCTGACAGACACTTAGAAAGGCAGGGAAACATTACCCATTGGCGAATATGAAGGAAGCGGCTGATGGGGTAAAACAACCTGGAAAAGAGAACAAAAATATCTAAGGTTTAGGCTGTGAGTTCAATCCCCTTTGAGAAGCATACACTTAAAAACAGAGCGCAATACCTATTATCGGTTGATTATGAGCTACTGTTTTGATGGCAGTGCCTGAAGTTTCCCTACCTTCCCCTACAAAAGGGCCAGAAGAACCGAGCATAACAGCCGCTATACGTGAATCCAGCCCTCTCTACGGGCCTAGCCAAAGCCCACGTGTGACTTCAGCTCAGGAGGGCCTTAAACAAAATATCAAGTTTGGGTTGCACCATTGCACAGAGACAGTTCCCTCTTCAGAGGGGAACCAGTCAAACCACCTCCTCCTGGGAGAAACATGTAGAAGTAGGCTGAAACTAATAACCAAGTAGCCAAGTATGTCTCTGGCTGATCTCCTTTTGTGCTCTTGAACACGTTTAACTTCCAAGCCACTTTCTGTTCCTAAGGGTTAGACCCTGCCAGGTGCCAAGCACTTTCACCTTTCCATAAAGGCAACAGCAATTTAAGTTGCTCAGCACCTGAAAGGTGCTCCACCTCAACTGAGGAGCAATTTTCTGGTATCTCCAAGTAACATAAGCCTCCACTGCCTCCAAAATGCTTTAGCAATGCAGAGATTCCCTTCATTGCCATAGTATTGCCAGCTAGTGCCAGGGCTGGTCAACCATCTAGTTATAGAGGAAGTATTTTCCTCCTGTGTTTGTTTTTTCTCTTACCGTTGTAGCTGCCGTTGCATTGGCATTATGAACGTTTCCCCGTTTCCTCTTCAACAGCTCCTTCACTGGCTCTTTGACACGGACACCTTGATAGGGGCGAGGCTGCGGCTGTTGTTCAGGAGCAGAAGCTGAGAAAGAGATGCAGGTGACATTTATTTTCCTTTCCTGCCACCTGCATAGAGACAAAAGCCCCATGGCAGCCCCCTTGTTTGCAGGCTGCTCTCTCAACATGGCTAGTTTCCAGATTCACGTACATTTTTGTCCTGAGCTAATGATGCCTTTTTGCTGATTGGGGATGTAACATGTCATAGGCTTTCCCTGGACCTTCGCTGCTTGGATGTCGTGGACATCACATAGATCAGACCATGAGAAAGCTTGCAGCTCCTTCCAGCTATTAAATGGTCGCAGCAACACTGAGAGACTGAGCGCCTTTCTTGTGCGTTTAAAGAGCGTTCATACATAGTTGACAGTCCAAAACCTTGGGCAGGCCTCGCAGCTGGAATGGTCTGGAGGCCAGGCCTGGCGGTTTCCCCAGCCAAGCTGGCAGGTGCTTTTATGGTCTGCGGAAGCCATGTCTTATCAGGTGCAGTGTGTAATGAACCCGGTCTGTTAAATAAATAGCCATATCAGTCTAGACATTTATGAAAGCCAAGGAGAGAGCAGTACCAGGAAAAGGGATCACTGCTGTTACATTTGGAATAACGCTCTATTCCTAAAAGTAACGGCTATCAACAGAACTCCACCTCCCTATGCGGGTGTGTTTTATACACACATGAAATAAGAGAGTAGCAGTGGTGAACCACGCACTCCAAAAGGAGGTGTAGAAGGATGCCCTTCTTCAAAACTTACCAGCTAGGTGGGTAAAAAACAGAAATAGGCAGAGGCAATGGACATATTCTGTTTCCCAAACCGTCTCTAGACTGCACCTTTCATTCTGCTGCCTTCAGTGAAGTTTCAGTGCGTTGTGATCCCTCCCTCGCCTTTCCCCCCCCCCCCCACCACCCCCCCCTCCCAGTTACTACCTTCTCTGCTGTATTGACTAAACTGTTTGGCTATGCTTCTCAATCAGAAGTAGTAAACGATGTAGTTAAAATAAACCCCGGCTCCCTCTTTAATCTCTGAGCCTGAAATTCTGGTTTCCTCATGTTTCTGGCAAAAGCAGCATGTCAGAAACTGTTTATTTTATTCAGCCTGAGACTTCACTTGCTTGTATCAGCTTTACATTGCTTTGGTGCCATTGATTTGCAGTGATTTACATCCACTGAGGGACAAATCAGACTGACTGTATCCAACAGTCATAGAACACAGATTGGTTAGTAAATACCTAGCACACAAAATAACATAAGCACTGTCCATGCAGATATATAAATTAGTAGGGATTACACATTCAAGAGAAAAATATGTTGTATTCTGTACTTAGAAGCAAGCTACAAATACAACACAATGCAGAAAAGCATCCTTATTTGGAAAGCCATTTAACGCCTCACTTGTTTGATGTGCATACCTTACGGCTTTTGGGAACAGGTACATGTATTTAACTGCCATCATAGACCAGTGTCACGTTTCTGTTCCAAACAGAGTTTTGTTCATAGCCTGGCCAGAAGGTTTATAACCTGGTCAGCTGGGATGCGACACAGCTTTGCAGACAGTTATAAAGACGACCAACCACAGAGCTTAAACCCATAAACTCTGATCCATTTTGAAAATTAAAGCCGCCAATCAGCTAAAAAGGCCTATCACGAAGTCTTGCAATAACTGAAGTTAGAGGAAGCACGGTTCTTCATATGCTGATATTATCAAGCCATATCTTACAAGAAGTATTTAGACGTAATTGATAGCAGAAGGAGACCGTAAGATATCAAAGCTCAGGAAAGCCTCATATTTGTAAAACCACTGATAGCAGTACTTGCTACCTGCCCTTTTTTACTGCACTTCGATTTGTAAATATGCCAGTTGATAAGTTTCCATTTCTAAAGCTCGCAATTGGCCTTCAGTTTTATGAATTACAGCTGCATAGAGTTCAATCCATCTCAAATCTTAAATTTAGAAGTATTATTCCACCCAGAAAACATTTATTCAGATTTACGTTCTGTACTTTGCACAACAGAACAAGATGACTTATTTCACTTTTTATCATCTCTTCCAGCTACGATGCAGTTATATCCCCACTGAGATATTTCAGTTGCATCTTTTTAGGGGAAGAAAAGTGGAGCCTAAATGCAGACACTGCAAGCTGACCTCAAAGAAATATTTAACAGAATAAACATCTCTGCTTTAATTTCATTAAAGAATGAAATACTTCCTTCTCTTCAACTTTGCCATAACAATTAATAGTTTACTCTTTCTGCTCTTTTCTCTTTACATACCATTTAATCATGAAAAGTCGAAAGGCCATTATAAATAGCTTTGGTACCAGACACCGCTACAAATATGTATTCAACCATTCTCATTATTTGTTACCTTTGTACATATATGGAAATGGCTGTGATTTAAATGAGGTGGTGAAGAAAGGTGATTTTCCAGTCGTTGCCTGCTCTGCCCTTTATTTCTGCGGACACTTTGTGGGACTTCAAAGTGGATTACTTGCATACTCATAAATCCTGTGGCTTTGGAAGTGCGGTTTGCTGAAGGAATTAAGGTCACTTTAATTCTGCATCCACAAGCGGTTTTAATGCAGTTCATATTTTGCTTTTAAAATTTAATTGATATTAATTTATCTGAATGTTCCAACAAACAAAAGATGGTGCTAAAGAGTGCCTTTGTATGAGCAGTACTGATAACTCTGAAAGTGAGCTGGATGCTAGACAAGAGGCTTGAAATAAGGAGTATTACAAAGGTTCTTTTTTGCTCTTATATGAGATTTATTTACATTTGAAAATGATTTATTTGAATTTTACTGAAGGCACTTCAGATTCAGAGGTTGCTGCTGTTTATGCTGAGTGAAAACATCAGCTCCGCCAAAGTAAATAAGAGCTCTGCTAGACATTGCACAAGAGGCACAACTGCACCTCTTGGGTAGTATCTTATCCTTGAGCCTTCATCACACTGATTTCAGAGAGCCTCCTTGCAGAGTCAGGGTGGGGAAGGATGGCAATTTCTGGCTCCAGGTTTGGGGGATGGGGAAGGAGAAATTTACTGTAAAAGCTGACAAATATACCTATTCAGAGTTTCCGGTGTAAAGCAGAATAACCAAAAAACTGAAAAGAAAAAAAAAGAAACCCGAAGTCTGCAGAACATATTTCAGTTCCCCCCAAGCTGACCTCCAGAATTAAAAATAATGCTAGCACAGCTGCTTTTCCACTGTTCAAGTGTAGACCATGTCTGAGCACTACGGAAGAACCACAGCAAAATGACTTTTGGCTTTGGTGCACAATTCATCATAAAGCAAAAGAAATATGATCATTTAAAAATAAAAGCAATTTGAGGAGCAATGATCATCAATATAGGTAATTTCGTCATAAGCATATTTTAATCTCCTGCTTCTTGTACCAGGGCTGTCTTAATAAACTAAGAAGCCTGCCTTGGACTGAGTTTCAATAAATAACAGTCTAACAGTCTTGCTTTAAGTCGTGAGCTGTGAATGCACCAAGGTCCACGTGCCCAAATTCCATTCAAACAAATAAAAGGAATGGCACGGTGTGCGTTTCAGTGGCGAAAGCCACCAGTGCATTCCAGCTGCCTCATACTGTTTATATACCACAAAACAGCCATACATCCTCCTTAATGCGCACTGGATCTGGATTTGCAGCTGCTGCCTGAAGTCGGAGCAGCACAAAGCATGAGGAGTTAAGAAAGAAGAGAGGGGATCTAATCCTCACTTGATCACAACATGTAGGAAGCTTTGCAAAAGCTTCTATGTGTAAACATGTTTTAGCTCATTGCAATGCTTTTGCCAGGCCACCTTACAAAACTATGGTGCGTATATATGCTCCAGTTCCTTTCATCAGTGTTATCACTTATTATATTTGTTGAATGTCAACAAAAGCCTAGCTCAAGAAAATCCAAACCTTGAGGACTTTGGAGTTATCTTTCAAAGTGGCTGCAAAACACATCCGGTAATGAGAAAGTTACCAAATACACCAGCTCCACTAGTTCTAAGTACTAAGTGACACCAGAAAAAAGCTCATGATGATGTTTGACTCCAGATCCCTGAAGAGACCTCTTCGACTTAGCCCAAAAGCATCAAGACAAAACAGTTAGGGTTGAAGATTACTGAAGGGTAGTTTTTCCACTGATTTCAGTGGGCTTTGGATGAAGACTTGAAAACTCCACTATTTCTGTTGTTAATTACTCTACGTACACCTCTGATAACTGGTTTACACCTAAGGGAAAACATGTTTTTTCTTCTGAGCACGGGTTCCAAGTCATGCTGAAGTGGATGGAGCCAATGGGTATCTTGCTGTTGCTTGCTCAGCACGTCCAAAGCCAGCTCATGGGCTGACAAGAGCTTCAGAAACACACTGTACAAGACCAAGATGAGCAAAAAGCTGAGCAGGTTAATATCTTGGGCAGCGATTCTGTAAACCCTGGCCTCTACTTGCTTGTGCTTCGGAGAACACATCAGGGCTCTGTCTGTAGCATCTAGTACAACGGTATCCCATTGTTACATGATACTTGCTTTCTCCAGATTACTGTCAGAATGAGTTTCAATATGCAGATGCAGTCTTTTTAAAGAGATTTGCTCCTTACTGAAGCTAGCGTTTCATGGCTGTTATTAAAAGACTGGTCAGGGAAAACGCACAAAGACATTGCTGAACAGTTAGACCAAGCACCCTTAAAATTCATTTGCCTCCGCATTTGTATTTAAACCATTGCTGAAATGGGAGGGAGGATAATGACAAACAGCTGTTGAAAGATGGCAAAGATCGAAGCATGACAAGTTTCAGACCACTGAACTTCACATTAGCACCACTGGCTTTCATACACACATGAACTGCAAATCAGTTTAAACCTTCATCCTTCCAAACAAGTCAGAACGATTTCCCATCAGGCCAATTTTCAATTTGAAAAACCCTGTTAATCTTTACGAGTTTGCATGACTGCCTGCCTACAACAGCAAATGACACACTTGTCACTGTTTCAGAAGATTTACTGTTTCTTTGCTCACACACTAGCCTGCGATAAGCTT